TGAGAGCTGGACAAATAAGTGGCTGCATTCCTATTTTTCTGATAGGAAGCAGTACACCGTCTACAATGGAAAGTCCTCCACTACCTCACTTACTTTAGCTGGTGTTCCTCAAGGTGCTGGTCTTTCTCCTTTTCTGTTTTCTTTTTTCTTACATGACTTGCCTCATTTTGATGTAGCCAATTTTGTTAAGTATGCTGATGACCTCTCGGTTTCTGTGCCTGTCAACTCTCAGTCAGATTGTTCCAAATTAAATAACTTTCTGTCGGAAATTAGTCAGTGAGTCCTCTTCAAACGGTCTTAAGCTAAATGCATCTAAATGTCAGGTAGTCAATTTCGCTTTCAGATGTAAACGTGACCTACAACAACTAGTTAGCTCACATGGCCCCACTCTCATTGACGGCACAGAGGTTGAAAATACATCTAATGTCAAGTACCTTGGGCTGAGTTTTTCGACCGATCTTTCCTGGTCCTCCCACATCTTGCTGTTTACTAGAAAGATGTTTCGCTTAACGTTCTACGTTAGGAAGTTTAGGCAGTCTGGTTTAAAGCAGTCTTTGCTTTCTAAGTTTGTCAATTCTTGTATTCTACCCATCCACCTTTACTACTCCCCATTAATCTTTCCTGGACTACTTAAGAAAGACATTGCTTTGCTGAGAAGGGCACTGAAAGCCGTTAGTAGGGCAAGTGGGATATCGTTTAACCAACTGGTTAACACTGTTGTGGATAGGCATATAATGTCATGTAAGATACCAGCGAATACAATATTGTCAGACCCCGAGCATCCTCTCTAAGCGCAGCTGTCTCCTTGCATTTCATCTGATAGAACTAGAAGCAGCTATAGGAGGCTATATGCTAGATATAAGAATAAAACTTGTGCACTGTGGTAGAGTGTAATTCCATTATGGGTAAATTTTTGTTTTGATAGTCTCACAGTGTTGTACAGTAATGTTTACTGATGACGTTTCGAGCACAATTTATTGCTCATAATCATATCAAGATGATATGATATGATATATCATATATATATGTATGCATAACACTGTGTGATTTATCAAAATAAAATCTTATCTACAATGGAGTTATATTCTACCACAGTGCCCAAGTTTTATACTTATATCAATAAACCCACACGATGTTTAGTGATGGAAATGGCTGTTAATAAATTGAGCAATCTCTGTCTGTAAGCTACTCACCTCATATCGTTTGACTCACCAGGACGGCTGGTTGATGAATTCAGGTCTCTGGAGCAAGTAACTACGGTACAAGTGCATTGCACTTGTGAGATATTCACTATTTTAAGAGTCGACATCTACCTTAATGAGGCAAAAACACTATGGTCACAATGAGTCCTCAGGCTTGTTTTACTACAACTGTGTAACGTAGGGGGCAACAATTAAGGTTATTCAAGTGCCTTAATAAGACGTGAAAATAAATGAAAACACACCAGGCCTATAGAAATTGGTCAATTAGCTCGAACATTAACTTCTCACCAAGTGGCCTACTCCGCGTCAGTCACCCCATAACAAAGTGAAGTGATATGACTTACTATCAGTTGTTTATGTGGCAAGGTGATGGGGTGAGAGGTAAAGTATACGAACTCGGAAATTTACAACCCTACCCTGATCTTGAAATGATAGCAGCATTAGAAACCTGGTTGACCCTTGCTGCTGTTGACAATAAAGTCAGCACATGCAATATGTTGTTAGTTAGGTAGGAACGGAATCATAAGAATGGGAGGTCGTCATATACACCAGCAAGCAGATAAGATGCGTACTAGCAACATACTCACCACTCACTGTACTACCAGACTCAATATGGTACCATTTTATCGTCAGCCACATCAAGCATTTAGTAGGTGGTATGTGTCAACCACTCATATAGAGTGGAACACAGAAGCTTTTCAAACCCATCACGGAAATAAAGAACCTGGACTAAAACAAAATCATAACTAGAGACTTCAACACTTCATTTCTTAACCCGGGATAGGAGTTTGTTCAATGAACATTAAACCGAAATCTGCTACACACCGTAAGAAAGGCTAGATAGACTGAGAACGTGGAAGATGACATCAGGGTGAGGATCTAGTGGAAAGCTGGCAAAACTGAATATCGTAACTAGTGACCATTTATTAGTGGGAGATGTTCAAGTCAATACTTGTTTAGGTAGTAGCAACCACTCAGTCATAGTGCTTGATCTAGTTTTTTGCGAGTGCTTAGACTGGGATGTTACGTGACCTGACTGACTGACCTGAAACCTACGCGATCTTGTCTGCACCATAACATATCCGGCTACACGACGTGGCTTAGCCCACAGATTAGGCTGAACTATTAATTGATGAATATTGAGAAATTGTAAAGGGAACTGTTCACATAAGAATCTCAAAAACCGTCCATATCGTCACATTAAACCAGGAAAAATCTTTCATAGTTAAATTAAGGCATGTAGTATACTCTCCAAGTTAAACGAAAAGCCAGATGCAAATAATGGCTATTTGGGAAGTAAACTAACCCATGAGGCATACGTAGCAACTCGAAGGTCAGGAGCGACACGGGGTTACCTCAGGTATACTTTGCCAGAAAACTCCTGATGAACCTCAAGAACTTATACTGGTCCATGTCACAAAGAAAACCTACTAACTCGGGGTATGCACTTCCAGAGGTCTACATGGTCAGCATTTCACTAGTATGAAATTAACTGAAACATTTATCTTGGCCTCTGACGTACAACTACACAGCACTGTGAGTAAAAGCACCGCAGAGTGAGATAGTCACTTCACTGAATCACTGAGCACAAATATAATAATTACATTCTGTAGTAACTACACAACACTCCTAGAGAAAGTACTGAAACTCATCAGGGGGAAGTCCCAAAGTTGTGATGATATTCACCTGCTAGTTTTAAAACAGTGGGCGGAGGCTTTCTGTAGGCCTTTTTGCGACCTGTGTCAACACTCTATGGACTAACTGAAGACTAGGAGAGAGTCATCCATCCTCTTATCTCCGAAGGAGGATATTAATAGACCTGTAACATTGCTCCCAGTTGTGCCGAGAAGCGTTGGAATATCTGGTGGACGACCATATCAAGAAACAACACACTCTAAGAAGCGAAACACATTTTCAAGAGAGGCAGGGCCTGTGCAACCAACCTGTTGAAAAGAACGGGATAAGTAATTCAGCAAAGACTCTTCTCCGTGAATTTATTTTCTTTAGCCTTACAGTCATACATATATACATTTCTCACGAAAGTGGATAGCAACAAAGTGATGAATTGTTAATATTAACCAATGCATAAGAGTAGTTACAGTTACGTAGTATGACACTCTGCATACTGTGAATTACATGACCACAGATTCCCATACCACTATCCCCGGAACTTACTAAGATAAGACTGGAGGGATTGTTCTGATACGGATAGTTTCTCACCTGAAGTTAACCAACGGTCTTTCGCAAATGATCTTAGACTAAGCCCCTCTAAATTTCAGTTGCTAATTCTAGTTTCAGATGTGAACAGGACCCGCATGGACTGATTCAGTCCGACGATTCTTATAATACTGACAGCACTGTGGCAGGAAATAAATTGAATATTACCTCTCGTGGCATCCGTTTCTCTTCAAGGCTTTGTTAGTCGTCTCATATCTTGTTGATTTCTCAGAGAACCTTTAATTTGACTTATCTCACATAAGGAATTTGAGATTTTCTCGCATAACTCAGCCTATTCTCTTACAATTTATAAATTCACGTTTCCTGCCCATTCTTCCTTGTTGTTTCCCTCTATTCTTCCCTGGGCTTCTCAAAAAAGACTGTCATATTACATAGGACATTGATGGCTGTAAGGAGTCTTAGTGGTATGTCTACGACCCAACTAACTGATGTTGTTGATGAGCATTTTAATTCTTGCAAGCAGTTAGCTAAAGTGATCTTGTCTGATATAGAACATCCTCCTTATTCGCAAATTTCTCCTAGTATCTCTTCGGGCAAAACCAGAAAAAATTTCGCACGCATTTATGCTCCTACTGCAAAATATAAAAGTTCAACCATACTATATTAGGCACGGATGCTATGCGAAGAGACGAGTGTCAAAAAAGAGCCTATAAACTTTTTAATCGGTAAGTAAACAGCCAATTATAACCAGCTAACATTCAGTTTTTGAGATTTTATTACTTATTTGTTAGAGATAAATTGCTGCAACATGTACAACGTTGAAATTTCCATTCTGTATGAAAAATTGATGCTTAGAATAAGGTGATGATTTTTATCATTATAAGTAAACTACAGGGAAGCTTACCAAAGATCAGGAACTCTAACCTTACAGCCAAGAAACGATATCAAGGTATTTTTTTCCTTCATGTTCCCCAGTGGAACATAGGGATTCAAACTAGTGGCTTGAAGTTTCTGTAGCAGTGTTTGTTTTACAGGATGGGGTTGCTAGCCTCATGCCCAACCTTTCCTCTTTACCAGCATTATTTCTGACTTAGCGAGGTAAAGGTGTGCGTCGGCCGGGGATCGAACCCCAGACTATGTGCATGGTCGGCGAGCGTCCTAACCGCTATGCCACCGACACAAGGTATACTATTTGGTTTAAACTTGATTGTATAAAGGGCATAAGTGTCACTTAAAGTATACTCAACAGCCCTACTGCAGATTTTCATGAACATGTGCCTTCACTAGTTCGATGACGAACATCAAATGGCTGGTGTGAAAGGATATGCAACATAGATCCCTAGAAGCGAACCAACTGACCTGCTGTTCCAAAATATGCACAAGGAAATCGAGACGTATTGGACATACGCTAAATATACCTTCGAATGACATTACACGCCAAGGCTCTCCCCAGTGGAACTCAAATGAAAAGCGACGGGTTGGGTTCAAAGGGTGATATGGAGGAGATAGAACTGAGGAACAACAAATAAACAGATAATACCAAAATGCCTTATTCAAAGATAATACCTATTAAAATAGTAAACAGTATTTTGAGAAAAAAAGCATACATCCTGAACTTACTGAATTTCTTTTATTGATCGCCACTGCATCATTCAATTTACCATCAACACTTCCAATGGTATTAGATAATGTTTGTTGATTCCGTTGAGGATAGAAAAGAAGATATTTTTTCCATGAATTAAACCAACTGATGATTTTACCAGCACAGATACTGAATTGTTTGATCATTTTATGAGGATATATAAAGGTAATAAATATCCAACGAAGACTAATCGTATGTTTAACGACAAACAATAAGCCTAATATCCATTTAAAATAATAGTTATTCCAATATGAAGAGCCGGTTGTTAACTGATGATTTATTTTCTGTTCCCCTGAATCAGATATACTTGATGCTGATGTTGGTAAAACACTTTTCAGCTTCAGTTTTCGTTCTGTTGTTACAATATCAGATGAGACAATGTGGTCAGTTGAAGGACTGGTAGCGATATTAGTAGTAATAGTAGAATAAGATAAATTTGAATTTGTAACCACCCCAGTAGACCGTTCATCATATAAATCCCGTTTAGCATCTTTACAATAAGTGATACACGTTTTCTCTGTTGTTTGATTTAAACTAAAAATTTTCGTAGAATCTGGATAAAAATTCTCTGGTGATTCATCAATATGACGCCGGAGAGCAATATGATTAGTGTATATGCCTTTTGCATCTGCATAGGATGATATCAGTATTCCAATTATATTGAACACATAAAATATTAGAACCATTATCCTAGAAGAAAAGAGCGGTAGGAAAAGGAATATGGATTGATATTTTTTTAACGAACAGTAGAAACGACATCAAAAGAGACTTCCCAAAACGCTCAGAAATGCTCCCAACATTAATAGCCTTTAACATGCCTTAACCACGCTGCATACATATCCATGCCATGCACTCACTGTGATTTTATACACATGAAGTCATTTATGTATTCAATATGTCAAACTTATAGTAGACTGACACCGTTCACATCTCAATTTGTTTTTGTTCGTTGACCAATCATAATAAAGGTCAGTTGAATGACTCATCCATTTCATCTTGTGTATTCTATGTTCTACCAATAGACGAGAAGAATAGAGGATAGAAAAATATTGGTTTCAACGTGTCTGAAAGCACCGTAGTAATGGTGATGTGAATACAGGCAGGGCATCTATTATTTCTTATGATTTTGGTTCAGTTCACTCCCGGAGTAAGGAAGAACAATAAACTTAAGATCTGTTTTAAAATCGTCATTAAAAAAAATTATGGTAATGAATAAGACCTATATATCACCAAAATAACACTATTTTTAAAATTACGGGAATAATATTGATTTTAACCATGGTGATAACTGACGGTTGAGCCCAGAACATAAAATTCATCATGTAGCTACTGTTGATATGCCCAATGAGATACAAACATCATGCTTAGTATATCAGTGCTGCCTACTATCAAAGATATACTCAAGATTTCAAAATACGAAATATTAAGGTGTCTGTAGAAGATAATGGCAAGAGTTAGAGTATAGCGACCTATGTGAATGACCAATGAAACGACTTTGAACAACCGACTAAATAAGCCTTATTGTAAAATATCATCGTGATTTTGTACTTCAATACTGTCTGGATAATAGGCTTTTAGGAAGGACCAGTCTTCCAGTGTCTTGTGATACCCGGATCAACTATTCACACAGACAAATGAAAGCGTTACAAACAGCTATTATCATCCGGCTGTATTCATTCTTGTGATTTTGTTGATACGCATTCGAAAAACAGATTCGTGCGATGAATGGGTCACCTCGATGAATTCAAGTACAAAAGTGGTTTGGACTAACTCTACGAACCCCTGTGACAAACTGGGAGATACTTCTAGAACATGTAATGGATTGCCATCCTGTACAGTTATTGTGTCCTATAAGATTTTCTATCCAAAGAACTCATTGACTGTTCGATGGGTTCACTATACTTAAGTCTAGCCAAGGTAGTCTATACACCAATGAAAATTAATCAGTTAAAACAATAAATTACCACTGAATTACATTTCAAAACTATAAATCTTTGAATAGTAAAGAAAAAGGGACAGAGAAAGTTACTTGTTAATAGTTACAATTTCAATATACAAGGATTATTCTATTATCTGTTTGTAAAGTGACTGTGAATGAATTGCGAAAGCCTGCAAAAAAGGATGGATAGTGAGTACCTCTTTTCATTATGTGACTTTTGAAATACCAACCACAGTAAGTTAAAGATAGCCACCTACTATATATATATATATATATATATATATATATATATATATATATATATATATAAAGAGTAAAAGTGGAAGAGAAACACAATCGCTGTTTATCGAGCTAATGGTAGCTACTTTATGTTCAGTATAGGGGGAACAGTTCTTTCAGAATAGAAAAAAAGCACACGCAGATTTCGCTTTGACTGTCAGTAAAGATAACTGTGATCTGAATTATATTCTAGAAGCAATAAACAGTTGTCCCACACCTCGTTTAAATTCAGAAAATAAGTTTAAAATGTTTTAAGAATTACATCTTTTTTATGTAGACAGTAAGAGACAATAATACGGCAGCTAAAGCTTAGTAAGCATAGTCGACCATGGGATGAAAAAGACATATTTAAAACTATGTTACTTAGTCAATGCATCAGTATCTTCAGTGTGTTTGTGGCTTCCGTTTGAGTGACCATAGTGGATTATCGACTTTCCCAGCTAACAATTTGCAGAGTTGATTTCCGTTCCATTTGGTCCGACAGATTCTTAGCACATTTATACCATATCCTACTATTTCTTTCTCAATCTTTACCAACATCAAATATTATGCGGACATTCCATGTCCATTTGCTCATTTCAGTTTTCACTAAAAGAAGATACATCGGCTGACTGACCAGCGTCATTTCCTCTCAGACTCCCGTGAAGAATAAGTTTTTTTAAATATTTCCCCGTGCAGTGAAGTTTCTGTAGCGATTACATTGATTTTCCAGGGTAGGATAGTTAACCCCATACTGGGTTTATGACGGCCTAGTAAACTGAGTAACTGGTAGACTAGGCGTCATAATTTTGACCAAAAGAACTACGACATAATTTCACCTGCAGTGAGCTATTTATTCTCTTCTTTCAAAAGAGTGTTTCAGTTGTGTGAATGCTTCTGCTACATACTGCCAAGCTAGATTATGGGTGATAATAACCTACTTTGGTAATCTTTATCTGATTATATTGCCCAAGAGTAGTGTTAATTATTATCCTTTTTACTCTTAGACGCCTTATCATTTTGTATTTTAATTGGTTTTTTTATCTTTCATATAAACTGATCCGACAAGTAAATGTGTGTGATCAGAGTGTTAGAAATACATTACACAAATATATCACCTTTTTGCGGATAAACTCTGTCTTCTAATAATACTGTCTGAGTTTAGCAAAGGGACTAAGTATCTTAATAGTTTTATTTTACAATTTTAACCGACTTTGATTCATCGGGGACAATTAAGGATGCTCTTGGTGTATACGCAGATCGAATTGTTACGTGAATAAAATACTGTAACTATATGTATTGCAAATGAGGTTTCTTGAGGAAAATAAAAAATGTGGGGAGCAGGGGTAGCAACAAGATATTGTGGTAAACAGCACATAAGATTACATAAGTCATTAGAAAACTGTGAACAAATAAATGAAGTATGGAAAAAACTATTATGAGTTACGCTCATTTAGCTAGACATCAGACATTTGAAGCATGAAGTTTAGTAAGTGATAGTGTTATCAAGTAAGAACGAAAAGAAATCAACATTTACACTCAATAAAAGATGATACAATCTCTTAAGATTAAAAGCTGAGTTACCAAGGTCGAGGAAGAGGTTACTATTTACATTTGATGATAAGTGATATAATCAATTAACGTTAAGAGATGAGAGGGAGGGAGACAGAGAACTCACTATAGCTACTTTTTGAATAAACAAGTCAGGTGTCAACTGTTTGATAGAGATGGCCACTGCAAACGTTCGCAATTTCTACAGGTCAAGCTTCATATATAGCAAACAGGTTCGAAACTTGTTGAGATAAGCTTGGTAGGATGCTGTGAATTATTCCAAATGCTTTACTTTTTTATTCAACCACCCAATCAATGTACCCTGGAAGAAATCAAACAGAGCTTCAAAACGCCAGATTCCTCTAACCAATTATTCGACAAAACTTCAAAGATACAAATTTGCCTACTGGGGCTGTAAATTTGATGAACATATATGCCAAAGATTCAGGTCGTAGAATTGTTACTCATTGGTGTAGATGAATGATTTTCGCCTAGTGTCCTACCAGTTCAAAACCCACAAAGCAGTACTGACAAACCTTGGACGATAAGTATATATATATATATATATATATATATATTAGATATGTTATTATGTAAAGAAGGCTGATCAGTTGGCAGTGTCAGTTTTCATTGTCTTCTTTGACGATAAATGTTAACTGGAGTAGGTTATGTTTGAGAAAACAGTTTACTGATGGACACACACCAAGAGGCAGAAATGCTGATATGAGGAAAGACACAAGGTGCTTTAGAACATGGAGAATAAAACTTACGGTGCAAAGTCGTTCATAATGATGATTTTCGAAATTCTCAATATTTTCACAAATCATTTACTTATTCTTCCTCATTTGACATATATGTTTGTATCCTGCAAAATTACAATGTTTCTACTACGAATTCTAACGACTTGAAATGATGTAATTCCGTGCAATGTTCTACACTGATCTATTCGACTGTTCTCCTGGTTACAACTCGTTCCGTTTTTATTAAACAAAACACAACTAGATAATCAGTAGATTACTGCTTTGATTGCAGAAGCAATGATGCAAAGGTTCGAAAACATGATTCTACTAAAGATCAAACCCAAAATTTGGATACGTTACGTAGACGACACATTTGTAATAATCAAAAGAAACGAGTTAGATAAAACTCACAACTTAATAAACAACGTCTTCAATGACATCAAATTCACAAGAGAAGAGGAATTCGAGAGCAAAATCCCATTTTTGGACGTCTTTGTTAAGCAAAAAACCGCAGGGGAATTAGGAACTGAAGTTTATAGTAAATCAACATACACAGACCAAATCCTGAATTGCAGCAGCAACAATCCAATAACACACAAAAGGAATTGCATACAAACACTATTCAAGAAGGCAGCACTCCCACATTAAGGAACATTGACTAAAGATATCTCATGGACGTTTTCCAAAAGAATGGATATCCACGGAATTTCATCAAAAGACATATACCCCCAAGCCAACCTGTCAAATCAAAAGCCCCCAAGGAAAGCACAAAGAAAATCACCCTGCCATATATAAGGGATATCTCAGAAATCACTGCAAGACTCTTCAAACCTTTAGGAATTGACGCCGCACACAAAGCAACAAAATCACTTTACTGAGCCCTGTGTCAACCAAAAGACTCAACAGCGAAAGAAGATGAAACTAACATCATCTACAAAATAAGTTGCAACGACAGCGAAAAGCACTACATTGGTCAAACGGGACATCCCCTTCGTATTCTTATCTAGGAACATAAGCTAGCCGTCAAAAGACACGAAATCCACTCCCACATATCACTATATACAGACAACCACGGACATCAATTCGACTGGGACAACGTTCAAATATTAGACAGAGGAAACACGAAGAATGCTAGAGAATTTTTAGAAGCCTGGTATTCCAGTGAATCGTCAATCAATAGACACATAGAGATAGACAAAATTTACCAACCGATAAGGACGAAATCTCACACACAGAGGGTCGAAGTTCAAGTCAAGGAAACAATCAGTTCAAATACAAGTAGCCTAAAAGGTGTGAAAACACACAAAAGCAACCAATCACTTTCAATGTCACCATGGGATATGGTTAATAAACTTGTGAAGAAATCTAAAAGCTCACTTCAAATTGAAGTATGCGCTGAAGATGTCGCTTAATAGGGCGATAAAACCTTCGCAAATTAACTATCCAGCTCAGAGAACACAACCAAAGACATATGTTCAATAATGCAATAGAGCTTTGTAATGTTATAAGCTATGAGCACTATTTATGGCATTAGGATTAAGAACACTACTCCGGTTGATCAAAACAAGGTTTGAATATGAGATTCATAGGATAAGAAGAGTTGAGCATGTAACGTAAAAAGTCACACTTTTACGCTATAGTGAAACTGTATAGAATGGTATCTCAAAAACAGAATATAATTTCTATTATTGTTTTTGTTTTTAGGTTGGTTTGCATTTCATGACTATTAATTATGTTGGACCAAAGTGCTTAGTCTTTGTTGACATATGAGCTCCTAGTACGGACGCTTCGACGATGTCTTAAAATTGACGTAAAGGTGATTCGGTTGACGGTGATTAGCAGTAATACACAGCCTGTGAGCACGTCGGCCTATTCAGGACACGTTACAACTGCATGTACTTGCATTCACAGTGAGTAGTGATGGTGTTCTTAGTGAGACTCGAACCCTGCAACCATCATTTCAACTACCAAAATATTATCCACTAGGCCACGAGGGTCAGAACAACAGGAATAAAAAAGTGACCAAAGTGGCAGTAATCAACCACCTGTCAACTGAGAATCCAGTTACGAAATAAGTTGTTGCTATATTATTACAGAGGAAGAGAAGAAAAACTGAACACAGACGAGAAAAGAAAATTATTGTGTAAATAACCTACCATAGAAATGATTCAATCGGTGGTCTAGGCAAAAAATTAAGACATGCACCCAATAAGTATGTATTGAAACTAGCCTCTAATGGAATAATAGGCAGTTGAATAAACATTAAATCATCATTAATGTTATCTGTTTGATTATTTGATTCTTTCACATTCAACCATTGGAGTATGCTGGATTCAAATATTGATGGATAGACTTGAATAATTAAATCTGCTGTTAAATAAGTATGCGTGAAGTCTGGATAATGACGTAATTCAATGATAAGATGTTGACCTGGTAAAAGTTTAGAAATATCGGAAATATTATCACTGTTTTCATTGATATTTGAAGTATTTATTGTCCTTGTCATCATAGGCAGTATACATGGATCTATTTTAAAGCCAGCTGTAGTACATGAAGCTTGTAATGAATACATTGAAGTAGCTGATGATATCGATGAAAGTGTAGTTGATATATTTGAATCTGTCAAGTCATTTAGGCTTTTTAGTTTAGAATTTGGTGATGGTAAAAGGCATAGCATGAATATATTTAGAGTAACCTGTCCCGTGTTGACTAGAACTAAACGCCGACGTAGAGACAGGTTCACTAGTAGGCCTTTATGATGATCTATGTCAGCATGACCAGTGGTTGTTTGATAATTATGGAGATGACTGTCAGATTGTTTATCTTGTCGACTTTGTAACGAGGAGTGTAGACGCCGCACTAAATCCGTGTTCGGAGTTTCACCTACAAAAGATATTTTATTAAAAGAAAAGAAAATTATCAATAACAGGTTATTAATTGAACTAATTATTTCTTAATTGACATATATATATATATATATATATATATATATATATATATATATATATATATTTCTCGTTTTATTATATATTAAGGGTTAAGAAGCGTCGGTGGCATAGCGGTTAGGACGCTCGCCGACCATGCACATGGTCCGGGGTTCGATCCCCGGCCGACGCACACCTTTACCTCGCTAAGTCAGAAATAATGCTGGTAAAGAGGAAAGGTTGGGCATGAGGCTAGCAACCCCATCCTGTAAAACAAACACTGCTACAGAAACTTCAAGCCACTAGTTTGAATCCCTATGTTCCACTGGGGAACGTGAAGGAAAAAAAAGAAAGGGTGAAGAAAAATAACTCTTATGCAATTGTCAACGGTCAATATTAAGATAGTGATTACTTAATTGGCTACAGCAAAAAAATGTTATACTTAAAACCATACTACACATGCATACTCAATTTCTTAAGCTCTCCTGAGACAAATCGACTATCATTTCTTAACTACTAGTGATTTGGATTCTACAGGTAGCTAACAAATATTCTGTGGTATGTTTTTTATAGCTAAATGTTACTGGTTTTTAAAAACGTTCATGAGTGGGTAAGTCAACTATTGGATAGATTACAATTTCTAGCATACCGGTAGGTGACTACAATTTATTGTACTTTTATATGTCAATGTGCTACTAACCTAATTAAATAACAACATATCAGTTACTACCAATTTCCAGTTAATCTTGATTTAGATTTGTAGAAAAGGAATACGCTAGGCTAAAAGTGTGGTGAGAAATAAACACTTTTTTATACATCTAGTGATCATCAATTAAGAATTCAGTGACTACAGTTAAACAACTACTATTTGACTGGTAGTTAAGTTTTATAAATCAGTAGGGTGACTAACTTACCGATGAATTATTACAGAACTTACATACAAACGCACTAATACTCAAGTGGCGACAAGTTGGTAAAACATCCATGTCAGTTGAAAACTTATATACTACTAAATGAATGGGATAAGTAGTTGTATACCACTCACATCAACCAGTAGTACTTGTTAGTCTGTTTCACCCATTTGGGGCCATGTTCACCAGCGGTGTATCCATTTTGACTGAGATCAGCTCAAATCATTCATCGCAATCAATCGCTAGTATATAGTTTCATGCATTTGTGCTTTGTTTCCTGATACCATTTATAGAATCAAGCTAATCACATATTGTCATCTGAATAATTTAGGTTTCCAAAGGAAATTGTAGTGAAGTCTCACCTCGAACTGTGTAAGTTACATATTTGATTTACCGCTTTATGTGTATTACTTGGGCCTGTGGCAGCATGTAATTCCATATCAACTTGTCTATTAGACATGTCACACAGTGAAACAGTATTAATAGTCATATCAGTTATGATATAATTATGAGCAATAAATTGTATTCGAGTATTATAAAGGTTACTCGATTTAGCTAGGGAACAGCAGATACAATACGTTTCACACGTATGACCAGTTCAAGTTCACAAAACAGAAAGCAGAGTTCGAAATCATAAACCCGTGAGTAAGAAGTGTTGAGGCCAATAAATAATAGCTCCACATTTATTCGAGCGATCGCGTGCAATAAACACTGAGTAACATTCCACAGTGTTGCAGGGAATAAAACAAAGCAGGGCAGAACAAACAAAATTTTGAGTGTGATAAGAGCCTATTAAAAACAAGTAATAAAATTAAGTCGAACTTACAGAAGGGTCCAATTGATTTTTCAGTGAATTCAAATTTCAATGGTATATATTTGTGAAAATTTTGATCCGTATTATTGTTATTATTATTCGTAGTAGTAGTATTGAATAAACCGATTAAACTTAAATCTGCTTCATATATAATTTGATCGATTTTCAATGAAGGCGACACATTTTCTTCAATTCCCGATTGTGAACTACCAATGCCAGCATTATTATTATTATTGCCAGGTGTAGAACGGACATATAAATTAAAATTAGGTAAATTACTGTGTAATTTCTTTTCAACATCACTTAATGCAACAGATCCTGATGACTGTGATGCAGTTGAAGTTGACACCTTGGCGAGTGTTAAACCAATGCGATCTAAATGAACTTCTAACCATATAGGTTCTACAGAAGTTAAATTATTTCTTATCAATAGTAGACTACGAAGAACACCTTCATTATTATTGTTTGGACTGAGTGCATATAAGAGATTACTGATAGATGGTGTGAAAGTTAGACGAAAACACTGTTCCCCACCATCTGGTACAAGCAGATAACTTGGTGGATAAAAATGACTGAAAATATCCTTTGATTTACGAGATGAACATGAAAAAGGCTGGATAGAATATTCTCCATAAGTAGTTGTAAATAACTGAATAAAAACACACATAGAAAAAAGGAAGATTAAAATTTAAAATGATGGTTATGTAACGACATAATGAGTGAAGTTGAATCAGTAGTCTACAGATCATCGTAACGGATGTCTAATGACGACAAAGTTATGAGATAAAATGTTTTAGTTGTTCAGGCTTTTTATCCAGCTTTCTTTTAGACATCATATGTGACTTCTAATCATGCTGAAATAGGAAACGAGAGGTCAGATTTTCTGGTTAACTGTCGTAGGGAACTGCTAACATAGCAGGATAATTGTTCTAATAATAGCATTACTACTACTGTAACAACAAAAGGCAAGACACGGAAGCCAAAGGTATATTTTCAAGTGATCAAACCGGTATATATGTTCCTCTAACCAATCATTGAGGTTGTGATTTTGGATTACATTAGACGACATGAAATAGAATGTTCAAATAGATATATCGCATTTTGTTGCTAATGCCGTACTGAACTGTGGGAATATGGGAGAATCATATTCTGTTGGAACACACTGTCTGTATCACACCACCACACTGCTACTAATGATGATAAGAATGGTAGTAATAATAATAGTAATAATAATAATAATAAGGAAAAAGTACTTTTCGACAAGAAAAACAATCCAATTGATAATATAAGTCAGTTTCATTGGTGAGCGATTAACAGATAAACCCCACCGTAATATATCCAAATCTGTTTATCCTAGTAAATTGATTATTTCCAGTAGACTGAATGGACTACATCAACCGAACTGCTGGATGATAATGCCCAGTGATATGTATCCACATGTATATATTTATGTGTGTGTGTGCATGTTGGTCTCTCTTTCTGTTTGCTCGGTTAGTCTGTGACCACTTCACTTGTATGGACTTGTCTCCTTTAATAATGTGTATTCTCCTTATATTATATTATATATAATATGAGTGTTTGTTGACAGTCCGTTGCTTGGTGACATATATCCATATATGTTTGTTGGCATGTCTGCTATATTCGCTATGTATAATTGGATCGACACTCCATTATAATTAGCCATTCATGTTAAGACTGTCTAATGATTTTTCCCACGCTTGTCTGAATTATTTTATATATATTCGCATCCACAATTTGTGTGAACTACTTTACTACTTTACTTTACAACTACTTGACTTGCTTACCACTTTGGTGTGAGACCATTTATTTTTCGTCTCCTTGTGTTTGGACAATAGAAGTATCATCGTAAACCTAGTGGTCTTCTGATTTCCGCCTTCTCGCGTCAGGACTATTAGTTTCTCGACCAGACCATAACAATAATTTAGCGACGAGTACATAACACCCAGTAAATATTCTTCATTTTAAGGATTAATTTTTTGTTAAGTTTGATCCCGGATCGATATCAGTTGTGGAACCACTGGAAAACAGTGTGTACCGAAAAGTAGTTTCGTCCTTGTTTGGGACAATTTATCAGTATACGCACACCATCTGACCGCCATGGACCGAATTCAAAGCCTTTAGGTTAATAAATCAAGCTCATAAGGCCATGCTAACTAAGGACTGACTACAGAGCAAAGTTGCGTAGAGTTATAGTGAGAAATCATGATCAGTGGGCTGCATTAGGTTAGGTGTGAAGACAAATACTCACCACGGATGACATAACCGGTGGCCACGCTAAACTTGTGAATTGACAGAAGTTAAAATTTTTACGGGTGGCTGAATCGTCAACGAGCTTGGCATATTAACCTGAAGGTCCCAGGTTTGATCTATAATGGGGTTATGGGTGCATACCTCCGAAGGATCCGAAACTAGGACGAAAGAGCTATCCAGTACTCCCTCGTTTCCCATGGTTCTCCAATTGACATCAATAAATGGTCAAACTTGAAACAAATAAAATTCCTACAGACTGACTCTCGAAAATTAATTTGTTTTATACATGAACCCGTTCCACAAAGATACCATACATACCACGGATCTTTACATGTATTCTTTTATCTTTTTAAGTAGGGATTGACTGTATTTTTCCATCGTCTAAAAGTGGTTGAAACCTATTACTCAGTAAAGTTTAGTGCATATGATGTATTCATATATGCACGATTACTAGAAGTTATTTTCATATCCGTTGTCTCCATTGTACATTGGTGTGATACGATATATAGTAATAGATAGCAATAGCCAATTATAAGTCGACCAACCTATTCGCTTCATTTTTCCCCAATAATTAGATCTAATCGTACTGGCAAATGTAAACTGATGATAAATGAGAATCAGTGTAATGGTCAGGATTAATTTTAAATAAAATATTGGCGAAAAATATCCATCCAGACATGGAAATAAAAACAAACAGACCACTTAATAACATTATTTTCTTAACTACTAAAAATCACTCCCTTCACCTAAGAGATAATTTATTTTGATACTTGTCTCCATGCTGTTTCGTTAACACCCAATTTTTTCCTTACGTTTTTCATATTACGCAACCTTGGTCAAAACTTATTAATCTTCACATACACAGCCTAGTTACAATTTGATTATTCATTACTATTTGGAAATATTTTGATGACGTAAGCAATACTCTAAACTATTTCTTGTTCTTGTGCTATGTTTGATGGACTGAATGTAAACACTCTCACACACAAATAATTATGCTTAATGGCAACTATACAGCCAAGCAAGTGAATTCGCCAAAAAGAGTCTCTTCGTTGAACTGTTTGTTCTTATTTAAATCGGATGGGTAGACGTGCATAGTACCTTCTTTTTTAAGTCAACTGGTGGAACGTCCTAGTAATAGCTGGTAAGTTGCGATTTCATTTTATTGCTTTACAAATTTATTCACTTCATTTGTCATTAACACAACCACCCAATACTCCACACTGTGTCTTATATTAATAAACATATACACAAAAAGGACACGAGTCTAAAAGTATCGGCGACGGTTAGTGAAGCGAACAACTGTATTGTGACCAATAATTATGAATTCCTGTCATATATATAACAACTTAAAAGTCAACAACTCACTGAGTCAACCAAACTTCTATTCTTAAAAAAGTGTGTAGTCAAAGTTTTTAAATCGTTCAATTGAGTTTCATTTGAAACACAACTATTGTACACTTGACTCCATAATACTGGCTGAATAAATAAAGGTTTCACTGTTGATTGAGGATTTACAATTTGAAAGATACATTCCCATGAATTCAATGTTCCTGATGAAGACAGTCTTGTTGGTATCTGGATTTGACGATTAAATGATGATGCAGATGGAGACACGAATTCCTTCACTATACACCAAGTGGTATTTTTCTTGGATGAGCTGACAGAATGTTTTTGAGAATTAGTCAATTCCGGCCAGATAAAGTGAACGGATAAATCACTATGAAAGGTGACATTCAACATTTCATAACTTAAACTAGCTGTGATATTTTTAAGACTACGAATATGACTACGACTGTTACCATTGCTATTATTATTATTATTGTCATTCACTGGATGTTTGGAAAAATCGCTACTAGTAAAGTATTTCAACCACCGACTATGAAGTTCACTATACACTGAAAATGTTTCTTTGATTAATGAATAATTTATACGAAGCCGAGGATCACTTTCATTACCACGGTGACTGGTCTTCTCATCAGCAGCACCTTTTAACCATAATCTCCCTGTAAAAAGGCAAATGAAACAAAATAAGTCAAATAGCTAACTGACAAAAAAAAACACACACAAACACACTAAACAATAGATAACAAAACTTTAGTACACATATTCGCACTCTGTTTGTTGTCGATTCCAACTAGTCGGTATCGGATTTCTAGTCTGGAATTTCTCCACCAACTGACCTACAAGACCCAACTGCTTTAATCATCATTTGTTACATCGATATCACAGTCCATCAATTTAAGACTATATCAAATCGTCTCACGAAAAACTCAACAGTACATGAAAAAATATACATCACAAAGACAGGTCAGCAGAGGATATTCTTTGCGTAGCTTCTTATCAAAGTTGTACAGTCATATAGTGTCTTTAAAGATCAAAGAGATGCTTATAAAGGTCAATTGTTAATGTCAGCTGACAACAAAACATGAAATCACATATGAACAAAATAACTTAGTTAAACAGTCCTATATAATCTAAAGGCAAAAAAGTGCTGAGTATCGTTCAGAAGCAACTTTCATTAAAATTGTAAGCTCTTAGAGAAGGGAATATTCTTCATAAGAGTAACGCATTCAGAATACATACGAATTGTTTATATTTTGAAAAGAAAGAATAAGGAAAAACGACTAAATATGAATTGCATACCAGATTTGTGTACAAGTTTCAAAAAGCTGAAGGCCATTGAAGTAAATAGGACTGCAAAAATATCTTTTTTAAAAACGACTAACCACTTATGTCCCCCCCCCCAAATGGTATCCCCTGTCAACAGTCAAGTTTCACAGTCACATCAGAATACAAGAGAACACCATAGGGGACACTGGTATTTTGTCAGATAGAAAGATAATCATTGTTACATATGATACGGAAACCAAATGTCACATAAATATCTATCACTGATTAGCAATATATATATATATATATATATATATATATATATATATATATATATATAAGCTAACCGGTAGTCAGCTAACTCTATGATTCCCAGAATCCGTTAAAGGAAGATGAGTTGATTAACAGGCCCTCATTTAGACCTAAAACGCTCAAGTTACAGTTAAGCAACAGGATAAGCACGCCAAAAACTCTAAAAATGTTGGAGTCGGATTGATTTATGTGTAGTTATCACAAGAAGATTCCAATCCTTGTTTCTACAATAATGCAGTTTATTTCGTCTCCTCTAAAATTTTAGTAATTTTTTCACAACAATAATATCAATCTTGAGACGGTGACAAAAATCCTAAAAAAAAGACGCCATTTTATAAATAGTTTTGAAATGAGAAGAATTTGATCAACATATGATGAGTAGAATTCAACTGGTTGGATCATCTGATTACATCTTTTTGTCTAGAACAGTTTAATGGAATAAATTCTGTTATTGTAGTTATTGGTGAATTATTGATGATAAATGCAAATTTGGTAAGAAAAGTGTTGAAATTAAAAGAAAATATTACAAAAGATTTGCATTATTTTCTTCAATCAACTTTGTTTGTAAAATATGATGACCAGGACAATGAGTTCACAATTGTTGGCAAGACGCTTTTAGTAAGAAAAATGACGAAAACCCCAACACTTGATGATAAAGCATGGTAGTTTTTGTGCATCATGAATTTATTTTATCACAGATGTTATGTTACTCAACAACCAATTGCGATTCCATGCAGTCGGCAATAAACCACACCTACTGTGTGAGTGCTGTCAATACTGTGTAGTTGCTCAAACCTCGGAGGTCGAGTGGCATTCACACGTTCGCCCCAGTGCCTAGACAAATGATCCACAGCTCCACTTCATCATAGACAGAGTATTTCATGTCACTTAGGAGGTCATGTTCGATGGTGTTTTACAGGTCAGTAAATTGGGGATATAGAGGATTTTTCCTTGGGTGAATGTGCAGCTAGATGCTCGATTTCCTTCCTTCTTCTTCTTGGTTGATGTATTATTGTACTATTGGTGTTTTGACTTTGATCATAATATTGATGTTCCTAATATTACTACTACTACTACTGCTGCTGCTGCAGCGGTTATTGACTCGATTATCATCATTTCTGTTACAGTGCACTAGAGAGGTTTTCTGATAGCTCTTTTTTTAAATTAAATTAGTTTACAGATGATATCGAAAATCATGCGCCTGTTAAGAAATAAGAAAGACTGCACAGATGAATTCAAATAGAAGCCAAAACTACACAGTGTTTTCAGATAACAACCAAAAAGTAGTACATCTGAACAGAAAACAATGAGGTGCTAATTAGTTTAATTCGTTTTGACAGAAAGCAGAATAAAGTTATGATCTGAGAAATAAAAACATTATCTGGTAAATTCATTTGAAGAATTAAATCAGTTTAAGTGTGAATTTCAGTAGTGAAACAATTATATAGATAATGAAATGAAACAGAGTTTTACCTACCTGGTGACGTATCCAAGCTAAAGCCACAATAACAATACGGTTTAACAGCCTGGGAAGTTATGGGGACAGTGGAAAGATTGGCAGTTGTTACGGAGTGATCCATACAACTATCAGAAAGGTCGAAATAAACAGTACCAATCAACACAGATTGATTTGGTGAAAATGTAATCGGTTGTATAGAATGTATTGTCGAATTCGAATCGTTGTCACTCTCTTGTTTAATATTATGAAATTTAACAATATCTTTTGTAAAACCATTATCGATTTTATTCAGAAAGACATTTGGTGGATGTAACTGGACTTTTGTTATGTTTATATCAGTAGAATAAGTATTTTGAACTATAATGTTACGGTGAATACTTCTTCCCTAAGATAAGTGAAAAAATAAATCAAAGCCAAAATGAAAATTCAAAATAAATACACGCTCAAAAGAAAACTGAATACTGAATAAATAAGCCGCCAAAAAGAACTAAGTTATTGAGATTTCGATGACAATAAAATTGATTTCGCGATTGATACTGACACAAAACGGCATCATTTGAAAGAAGCTTTCGAAAACCAACCAGTTCTGGATAAAAGTGTTGTTCTAAATTGGAATATATTTGAACTAAAAATCACACACCCCACGAGAGAGTGAGACTAAAGAAATTAGGTTACAAGACGCATAACTTTATTAATCTGTTGATTTGCAATATTGACGGTGACCACGTCAATATTGAAAACTGTCAACAGATAGCAATATTCTAATTGTGTGTCGGAATACAAGAATCTTTGACTTATGCTCTGGTAAATCTCCCATACAACCGATTCTCATACGACTACTTTCCAGCTGGCAGCTCATGAAATAGAACTTCATTACGTATGTTAAAGGCATTTAGTGAATAACATCAGTACTTACGCAAGAAGTCAGCTCATAGGGATTACGAATATATCTGTGATTAGAAAGTTGCACATATGTTGAAGTTATTCCATGTTTTGGTTGGTGGTAACTAAAACCTGAGTCCAAGATGAGTATTCCTCTCTGTGTGGGACTCATCAACTTGTGAATGTACCAACATTCCCAATGAGTAATAGTGTGTTCTTACTTAGACTCTGCATCAATCGTTTCAAACGCCAAAGCACTACCACCCACAGGGCCATAAAATCTACCACTTGCGCAACGGGTGGTACCGGTTATTTATTTTTTTAGATTATTTTGCATTTTCCGTTTATTGATCAACCAAAAAATAACTCCACGTTAATCGTAAGACATTATCGAAGCAGACATGTCATCAGAAACCTAAATTGCGTTCCAACGGGAAATGGGAATTAAACCTAATAACAAATTAGTTGATGTTATTTCTTTAGAGGAATTTAAAAAATAAAATTATTCATGATAACATTATCCTCAATGATTTTCCTGCTTGTGGTAGACTGGATAGTGTGACAGACGGTGGGCAACGAGGAGACACGCACAAAAAACTTGGAGGATCTGGACTTCGCCGATGATATATGTCTGATTTCCCACAAACTGGAAGATATGCAAGTGATGAAAAACAAAAATTTGACGAAAGAAGTATCAAAGATAGGACTTCAAGTGAACATAGAGAAAACAGAGATGATAAAGATTCCTGGCCAACAGCAACAGCAACAACAACAGACAACAATCAGCATAAATGGGAGGAGTCTGAAAGAAGCAACCTCCTTTACCTGCCTGAGAAGCATCGTTTCCGCTATAGGCGGAACTGATGGAGATATCAAAGCGAGGATCTGGAAAGTAAGGCAAGCTTCCAATACTCTCAAGACTGTGTGGAAATCAATAACACTCAGCATGGAAAATAACATCCGGGTTTCCAACTCCAATGTGAAGTCACTGCTACTATACGGATCACAGACTCTGCGCGCGTCAAGAAGTGCACTTCGAACGAAATACAGACCTTCACCAATACTCAAGATCAGACGTCTGGCCAGAAAAGATCAGTGACAGGGATCTCTGGGAGCGAACTAACCTAGAAGGAACCGATTGTGCAACAAATAAGCAGGAAGAAATGGAGGTGGATTGGCCATACTCTAAGAAAACAAACCATCAACTGACATCACTAGACAAGCCGTCGCTCGAGTGGAACCCGAAAGGGAAGCGGCGAGTTGGTCGTCAGTGCGAGGGTGGCATAGAGGGGGTGATGCGAAGAGGAGATGAAAGCATGTGGGCTTAGGTGAAGGCCAGGTGAAAACTTCGGCGGAGAACCGAGAGCAATGGAGACGTGCGGCAGAAGCCCTATGTTCCCCTAAAAACTAAAGGAGACAATAATGTAAAGCAATAATTAATGACAACATTCTTATTGTAGTTCTGGTATCTTGGAGACAGTGTAGAAGAATTAGAAAGCCATTTAAATTCTCTTTCTGTTTAACACGCGGGCACAGGTTTCAAATGAGTAGAAAGTTTCTTAACTAACGACATACTCTACTTATAAGTAGCTCAAATATTTTGAATCCATTTTTATCATATGTCAGGTGATAATAACAAATCCATTAGTTTTCAGCAAGAATGTCAGTAGCAATAGCGCAAAAGGGGTAGAACAATTAAGGAAAATTAACGAAAAGAAAAGAAAAAACGAATGAGAAATGGACAAATACATGACATCATCATAAGATTTATATGAAAACTCAATTAATATCATATGTATACAAAAAGCTGCTTACAGGAAATAAATTATTCACAATCAGTGGATCAGGTGTCACAACAACTCGACCATGTGTAATATAGCATTCAAAGTTTTGTCTAAGTATCTACGAAAATCAATATTTTTTATTGAGGAAATAAAAAAGACCACAAATTATTGAGATTAGCAAGTGGAAAAAGTAGTAGTAACAGTAGTAGTGGAGAAATGAAACGAAAGCATAAATAAATATATTCTGAAGTTAAAACAAGACATATAAGCAAACAATATTGCTTATAAGTAGATTTTATTCCGGCTTTCCTATAATTTGCATAGCTTCATATAGAGAAAGAGTTGTTCCTGAAGCTCCAATTCAATGGTGACGTAACTAGCGAAGTCCCACATCTAAGATTATTTAGAGCCATAAAACAGAGCCACCTTTTGTTTACTGTTTCCCAACAGATCACTTATGACTGCTCAAGTGATGAAAGATAAGCTACTCAGCTGCGTCATTTTTATGGGCATTAAAGAGTTTAGCTGCTCATATGGAGAAAGTTATGTAGGGTGAACGACTAGACAGTTTAATAAACATATTATTGAGCATCTTTCTTCATGGTTCACATAAAAGGCAGAACAGAACGTATAAGATCTATGTCACCCCCATTTGATTACTAGAAGTCACAAAGCGAATAGAAGAAGTATTTTCGAGACTATTTATTGCATTCCATGAAGCCTTTTAAACAGAACTCGTCTTCCACATATAGCTGAGGCTATGGGAATTCGACAGAACGAATTTAATTTTTGTGTACAAAAAAAATTCGTTCTACCTTTGTCACTCTCTTGTCCTAGGTAAATTTAATCAAATAATTAAAACTTCCCATCCATTCTTCTTCTTCCTTTCCTTCTTCCTTTTACTATATTTATTTAAACTCCAATTATCTATCTTTTGGTATTACGCAACTTCTAGCTCTATAAAATTCCAACCAAATTATGTGATTGAATAGTTCACATTATCATACTTTCTTTATTACTTTTATCACTACTGTGTCAGTTACTTGCAATTTTTTGTTTATGAGATTTGTGGGTATTCCGATTAATTTCAATTTCTATATTTCATCACGAACCAACATCAGTTAGGGAGATCATTGAAAATCAGTGAACATTAGACAGCTATTTCGTCCTATTTCGGGACTGCGGACGTGCGAACCTATGAACCCACCACAGATCAAACCTTATAATAATATCCTTATTCTGGACAGTATTTATAAAAATGTACAGAATTTTTAGAGGAGTTTATTGCACTATATTTCCCCTTCGTACAACATCTTTAAGTGAAATATTAATTGACAGTATATCCTGTGGCACAATGGTCCCTGAGCTGAAGCACAAACCATTTCATTATGATATATCTGCTTTGTCTCTCTCAAGAAATCCACGATGTCTCGTTAAAAGCTTATTGTGACATGTACATTTTGACTCCCAGGGACATAACTGAAAGACAGTTATCTCATGTACTGGAATACATCGCCACCCACAATCAGCTCATTTCTCAAGTTTAGTAGGAACTTGTGAGTCAGAAGCTTTTAAACATTTTAAATACACAAAGGAGTAGATAATACTACTAGAAGTCAAATCTTAATCGATTAAAACAAACCGTACAAGGAAAAATATGTTCAATAGAGAGAAGTTTTTGGTAGCCCAAGTTTTAAGCAGCCCATCAAGAGGCTACGAGACCAAACTCTTTGACCATTCAGGCACTTGGGCTGGAATTCAGTGGCTTATGAATTTTAACCGTGTCAAATGGTGACAGTGCATTACTTACACCAGCGCCTTTGGTGAGCATCCACTTCTCATCTTTTACTGTCAGTGACTGTATTATGTCATTGTTACTGCTAATTTGATAATATTATAATCGTCATTATTTACCGACACATTGACAACAAAGTTGACATTATTAGTCAAAAAAAACTTTCATGTATAAAGCTATGTACATTAGAGTACAACCTGGAAATCTAATTGAAAACAATAATTTTTCGCTTATATGTCCTGTTGTAATTTTAACAACGGGAATATTTAATGGTATTCCCAAGTGAGAAAAAAAATAACACATTATCGGACAATGATTTCAGCTAAAAAATCATAATATTCAGCCTTTTGATACTTTTAGAATGATAATTCTCCAGCGCATAACAATATCGTTCTGAATATTAAAACACGTGGTATCTTCGTTCTTTTACAATTGTAATTTCAGTTAGTCAACAGTTGATGAGAAACTGTGAGGCAAAATAATATTACTTTAAGCTGTAAATTTGGTCTGGTTTTGTTTTGTCTAAATAAAACTAAGATTTACACACAGAAATATATTTTTCAATGTATTTTTTAAGAATATGATTGTTAATGTGAGTAAATCTAAACTACTCATGGTATCAGAAAGACTAAAATATATGGTGTTAAGTGACTCTACATATCAGTCGATTGCGATAAAAACGTCAGTTATCACTCTTTGGATTACCAACAGATGTTCTTTATGTGAACAGCCAAATTATTAGTCCTTACAGACGGGTGCTTTCAACTGTCAGACTGTAGATAGCGTGCACCACATGATAACTATCAAATACGCTATACCAGGTGAAGAAAACGAAGAGTTACATTTCTTTACCTTAGTGAAGAGAAAACTTTATGATTATGGAAATGATAAGACAATAACTCACAACATTTATCACAGAAAAACAAATAGGATAAGTGAAAATAAACTTTACAGAAAAATGAATAGTGCATCGGTAGATTACTGATTATCACCTTTGAATGAAAAAGCATTCTACAATACCTAATTATTATCTTTCATGTTAAGTGGCAACGTCTGGTGAGCAATATTAAAGCTGAGTATAGAGTACTAGGTATGAAAGGGAATACTGCTGATGCGCTTGAAAAACTGTATCAGTTGAAATGGCTAGGACACGAGTTGCTTTGGTCGAGCCACCAATTTCCTTGTCTGGGAATATTAGCTGATATAGGATTAGGCTGGAGAAGAGTAAGGAGTGGTTGTATCAAATTCTGGGAGGTTGAGCCAATCACGTAGGAAGGTTGTGGTCTTCGAGGTGCTAAGAGCCAATTACTGGAGACTGTTGGTGATATGCTCGATGACTCACTCTTTTACCCCCTAATAATCATTAAATCCTCAAGTTTTTTCTGTTACTACTCGTTCTCCTTTAATTTCTGATTATTACAGATCTTCTGAATCACCTTTTTCTCCCTTTTGCTCACCTATGTGCAACATGTGTAGTGTGATAACTTGAAGTGTTGCACTTCTACGCAAAGTTCTATGCTAAAACTCGAATCATTCAGTCAGCCAGTCAGAGGAAACAATACAATTAAACAATTCGGTGTAGTAACACCTCTTACAAGTTACACAGAATAATTTATCGAAAAGTAATTAAACAAGCCCTAGAATTCACTTTCTCTGATTATTTTATGGTTTCTAATATTACTTACTATCTAAAGCTTTCCAGAATGACAGTAATGGTTACTAGTTAAATTAATTTAGACTTGTCACGTAGTTATACATGTAAATATCAGGTTTGCTAAGCTGAAGAAAACAATAAAAACAAGAGGCATTGAAATTTGTAGCTAAGGTGGACGATTTTCGATTCGTTGTGTTCTCTGAGCCAGTTAATTTAACTGCATCTAGAAGGATGACGAAAGCTCCGCAATTAAATCAACAAGCTTAGAGAACAAAACTAATTTAAAAAAGACATTTTCAGAAAGTATGCAAATATATACATATTTACAAAACAGCTTTTGTTGATAGTGTCATATTTTAAGGAAATAATCTACACTCAAGATTAAATTCAACAGTTAATCCCATCTAAATGATGTTATATCAAACTTTCTAACAGTGTGATACTAGCTGACGGTAGCACTATAAGCCAAAAATCGGTAGAAATTAGCATTTATGAAGCAGCTATTGGATTCTATCCAATTGGCTGAATAGTCAGTGCAGTCGCCTCACAACGTGAAGTTCTTGGGTTCAAACTGTACCGGTAGGGTCTCAGGTGCGCAAACTGCTAAGGGGCGGTAAACTACTCAGTATTTCCTGATTTTCAGTGGTTCTCCATGACTAATATCAGTTCATGATCAAAACTTGAAGCTATTCAAATCCATTCTAAGTCAATACTTACAAATTACTAAGAAATGATTAAGCACATTTAAATAAAATATTACAGGTGAGATAATTTTAAGCTGATGTCAGTATGAATATTATTATTATTTAATTGTAGTCACTATCTAATCAATAGGGTGAAAGATGACTACTTCTTTAGGTGGCACCACGTCTGTTTATTGCTACTTCTTTTAACTAGAAATTAATTAATTAATTAAATTATAATGAATGTAATTAACCGGAGAAAATCATTTCAGACATATATATATATATATATATATATATATATATATACAGTCGCTCAAAACACAATACTATTTTCTTTTTCATTTAAGCATATTGATTAGTAAGTTTGATTATTTTCCGTATACAAAACTAATTGAAACAGTACTTTCATTTAAATAGTATCAACAATTAGAAAGGAATTTTATTTTGGCCACAACTGACCTAGATCATCTTTTAGTCATATGATACATTGGTGGTAATTGTGGTGTACAATTAAACAAGAATAAGAGGTTGTCGTGAGAGAAAACAATCCACTTAGTGCAGTACAGAACAGATAGACAACAGAGTCATATAAACACTACATCAGTTTGTTAAATAGTGATTCCTGTTATTATCATTATCAGTGTCCGTATAATCGAGTTTAATCAATACGAATGCTGAAGCATGGTAGAACAATGAATACAATGGAACATAGATAACCAAGATGATAGTCGTAATAATAATAATAATAATAATAATAATAACTACTGTGAAAAAACAAAAAGAATGACTTTATTTACCTAAATGATAAGGTAGAACTGCTGAATACTTTGTTTACAGTCTGAAAGTTTAGTCGAAAACACACAAACAAAACAACGGTAACAGCGTATGTCTGTGAGTGGCACAGAGGAAGGCACGCAGCGCATGCATGCCTTTAAGTAAAGATAACATCGTGTGTCATGATTAGTATTATTATTATTTCATCATAAGCGGCAGAAAAGTATTCTTTTATTTCAAAAAGTTCTTGTTTGTTTTTTGCTATTACACAAACAACTCCGGTGTTTGTCTGTTGGAAATTAATTAATAATGTTCAAGGGTGATTTATCTCTTGTCTATTGAAATTTATTAATTTTTTTTGGTTATGTGGAAAAAATAACTGGTGGACTGTTTGAATCACTGAGCTACGTGAATTTCCATCCAACACACAATGCATCATATTTTCCCTAATTCGTATTGTTTTAAGTATTCAGTCTTTGAGACACAAAATGTACCCACACAAATTTTCAATCGGCTTCCAAAATACTGATGCTCCATTTTCGAAGATGAAGGGAAACTATCATAAAGGTTTAGCTTATGCTTGGGAATGAACGTCATTACGTCACATATACTACAGATAGGTGTATTGTTTAAGGACTCAGAATGAAGAGAAAGTACTATGCAATAAACTACGCTGAGAATTCTGTACACAGTGTAAACATTTTGTTCAGAATAAAGTCATTATTGTTCTTTACACTACATGTAGTGAAATTCATATGTATAACATACTGTCGATAGTAGATTCCCCAGCTATACAATATTGATAACAATTAAGAGGAAAAAACAATTACAAATGTGACTAGTGCTAAAGAAATCCCGTCAATCAGATCGATTGCTGCTCGTAGGACTGATTACCAGGAACTTTATAACATCTGTAATCAATAAAGTGTTTCATTATGTTAAAGAGAATCGATTTAATTGAGATTATAGATAAGCTGTACTAAATTATAAAAGAGTAAGAGCGAATAAACGTAAAACTTAGTTTGACATCAAATCTATCACTTTAAAGATATCTGCCTGAATATAAATACAGATACGTAGCTAGTCCTTAAAGAAGAAGTACTACTTATGACTGAACTCCATAAACGATGTCGTACAACCGGAGTGAGTACACTACAGTCTTCCTAACCCTAACCCTAACCCAGTGAGTAATGGTGTTTCCACTGAGAAACTCCTCCCCAGAAGCCATTATTTGAAATATCAAAGCGTCATCCATCCACTAGATTACTCAAACACGACAGCCATCTCCAAAGCAAGTAACTACTGGTTAAAGTCACAGGGATATCAAGGTAACCATTCAATTAAGCAAATAAAGTGAGATTACCAAAGTTTACGAAACCTGACTAATGATAATTAAACATAATTTATCTTCATACAAGACTTTATCGATTACCACCAGTCAACTGAATACCTACCTAAGTACTTATTTTGTATAAAAACCAAAAGAACTAAAATAGTGACCTAAGATGAAAAAATCTGCACACACACACACACTTTCAGAAGGAAGGATGGGAACACACAGGAAGGTATTTAACCTACCTCATATTTCGAATGAATCCGTATAATGCCTTTGATATGCTGAGTTACTTTTTTACTACCCCATTTAAGAGGGAGATTAAATTCAGATGATGGTGGCATCTCATCCTAATGAAAGCGAGAAAAAAAGAGACAGAAACAAATCAATAATAAAAAATTGAGGGGGAAAATATATAAAAAAATTTTCAACTGTCAATTTTTTTGGTTTTACACTTTTTTTTATTATAGATTGATTCCACATCGTATTTTCGGTACAAGTATGGAATTTTCAGCATGTGATATCGGTAGCCCGAATTTTGCAGACCGACCACAGATATCAGGTGTGCGTCGGCAGGGGATCGAAACCCTGACCATGTGCATGGTCGGTGAGAGTGCTAACCATTGAGCCAATGATCGCTTTGTTCAGTTTCTTTATGGAGTTCAAGAGATTCAGATGATCTGTAAACAGATTAAAAGAATAAAACTTGTGCACTGTGGTAGAGTGTAATTCCATTATGGGTAAATTTTGTTTTGATAAAGTCTCACAGTGTAATACAGTAATGTCTACTGATAACGTTTCGAGCAAAATTTATTGCCCATAATCATATCACCTTGATAAGGTTATGAGCAATAAATTTTGCTCGAAACGTTATCAGTAAACATTACTGTATAACACTGTGAGACTTTATCAAAACAAAATTTACCCATAATGGAAAACAGACTAAGGATATAATCAGCTCATTATGCCATTTATGATGAAAAGTGAAGAGCTGAAAAATAAGCCGGTTGAAAGGATGAAAGAGCGGAGATTTTAAGAGTAATAAATAAGAAAGAATCCTTTTCATTCCTACCACCAAATTGAGGATAAGTTGTTAGGAAATAAGAAAAAAAAACAAACATAGTGATGACTCCACATGATAGAAAATCAAACCGCTACCTTATAAATATATATATATATATATATATATATATATATAATGTGATTCTGTTATTGTTATGATCAAAATTCGAGTTTCTAAGCTCATACAGTTCTAATGAAAATCACTTCTGAACGATATTCACCACTTTATACTTTTCAATTAAGTAAGACTAGTTGTACATATCCAAACCAAGTTCACTTTTAACAGTTTGAAAAAATTTGGGCATTCATTATCATAAAAGATTTTGTATTTCCCAATGGATGAAAAACAAAACGATTTGGTTTTACTGAAGTTTCACTATTTAATGCTAGTAGCTTTAGCAAACTTTTATAAAACCAGAATTTACAAAATTTCAGCTTATATACAAAACTTAATCATCGTTCACCAGCATGGGGTAATTTTCACGTTGTCAAGCTGGCCAATTGCTAGAGATAATAATACCATGAGTAGATTGTTGGATTTGATAAGTGTATACAATTATAAGAGCAACATGTGTTGACATAATGGAATTGCTTATCTTATTCGTGTTGGCTTTGCCATTTCGTCGCGCAGGAGGCAGGGTGTTGCAACCAGGTAAAATTCTGTTTTATTCCATCATTCCTATTCGGACAATTGGGATTCTATTTGACATGAGGTGCTTCTGATGTTAGACGGTCTTTGACGTTTATGAAATTTTTCTGGATTACTTCAATATTGTCAAAACAATTTTGTGACCTGATGATTTTTCCAGCTCTTCTAGTTCAACTGGACTTCTCGGTGGTCGAATAGATGGCCATTGGGAAATACAAAATCCTTTACAATTACACAAGACTACTCAACTAATTCTCATAGTTTATCCATGAATTTTCCCGATATGTTAGCTAGTATATTTCGTTACCAACTGACATTAACAATCGACTTTCATAAGCATTTACATGGCATTTCAGAACACCATATAACTAACTGTACAGCTTTGATAAGAAGTTACGCAAAGAATATCCTCTGCTGACTTATGCCTTTTTAATTCCATATTCGATAAGTTTGTTTCATATAATACACACAGATACAGTACCAATGAATGGATGAGGTAGCGACCACAATTTGTTATTCATAAGCATATCTTTGTATTCTATTCACACGTCTTCGTAGTGTGCTTCGTATGGTCTTTTAATTCCACTTGTTTCGTTTGTTTGTTTGTTTTTGGTGGAAAGTTCCATGTGTCGAGTTCAGTACTGCACCATCTTTGTTTTATTGTATTTGATGTTGACTCGATGATTCAGATGAATTATAAAAGAGGTTAAACTAGATAGATTATCGGAACAGAGGAGTTTAGTCTAGATCTAAAATGGCTGATCCTGCTTAGTTAATTAATCTATTCATGTACTGATATGTAGTCACACAATACGCTTAGATAGGTTAAAAGAATTAAAAAGCAATATATTTAGATGGAGAGAGGTAAATTACCAAAATCTTTGGTGATCGACTCAACACAAAATACGTACAATAGAAATTACGGAAGAATTATCTTGGATATATGCTGAACTACCTTCAAAAACTGAATAAGGCAAGTTATGAAGTTGTAGGGGTATACGCGTTGATACGATTGTAGGCAATAAAATGGTGCTAACAACGTTATCTAGTTATTACTTAACTGTATCACTGTGAATGACGTCAAAATAAATCTGTTTAATAATGTGGAATAATTTTTCGAGAATTACAACATAATATTGATTTTTGTCTTTCATTTTTGAATACATTAAGTCTGATAACAACATAAAGAGGAATACTAAACATTATTCTTCTCATTCTTTGGCAAATAATCGTATGTACCACTAGAATAGCATACATTATAGGCTATAATTCATATTACATCAGTCACTCAAATAGTTAACAAATACTCCGAAGTATTTTATTCCAGATCATCTAACATCAAGAAATGATACAGTCAATTGTGTCAATAGTTTTTCAGCAAATCAATATTGTTAAGTATTATTTGACCAATGCATACTAACGTGTTTATTTTTATTGACATGTCGGTTATCTTCGAAATAAAATCAGCTAGACAATTCAGTTTTATCATTTACTTTACTAACATAAAAAAATGAAATGAATATTTTGCAGACTGACACAAACGAATTCATAACCCCAGGATAAGCTTTTAGCTAAACGTGTCGATTGTGAGTATATATATCATAAGAGAAGAAAAGCGTGCTTGAAACGCTTAGTTTCTTCTTTTCCAGAAATGAATCCCTAGAAAAAGCAAAAGTAGCACTATGCATGCTACCACAGTTTTCGGTGTCATGGAGGAAATCTACCATGACTGATTACTGATTTGAACAACGACTGGTACTACCAGTAGTCCAGACACAGAATCAGCCCTTACATTTTAACATGGCTGCTGAGAAAACTGTTGAGTGAAATCGAGCTCTAGGAAAGCTTCCGAGTAGGATCCAAATAAGAAACGACAAGTTGGGCGGTGGTTCGAGGGTGACATAGAGGAGGTAAAACCTTATGGGCAATCATGTGCTACTTAAAAAGGACTTCAAGGAACATCATAAAAAATGGAGATGTGCCATAGTCCCACTCGTAACCTAAGCGAATAATAATTCAGGGGAGTTTTACTAATGAGTGCTAACAAAACCACGCCCACCAAGCCAAATATGCCTTCTGCTGATGACTGATTCCTAATATTGAACACTAAAATACTAGGGAACTTCGGTGGACAATAGTGTCATCATCCCACCCATCTTAATGACCAAAATAGTAAAACAGATTGTCAAAAAAGGCACAAGAATTGAGACATTGTGCGTGATTGTAATTTATTAGCAACAACACTTCGCAAGATTGTAGATTTACTTAATTTGATAATTTCCAGATAGCCACCACTATCTTGGTGTCTGTGATACGTAAATTTTTGACACCAAAACTTAAATGAGATGAATGAATTGAAGTTAAATAAAAGTGTGAACAAGCACTTCTTCTGAAAAAGGGATAATTATGTACAGTGATATATCTTAAGTTGGGAGATATTATTTAAGTAAGGGAATCATAAGCGCATAATACCATTCTCAGTAAAATATATAATTCTAGTCCAGAAAATGCGTCAGAAATAATGTACATAGACATACTATGCAGCCATGCATCGTTAGTTCAGTCGTCCAATGCGCGCCAGCCATGCAGTGTGGCCCGCCCAATAGCTACTGCCTTCATGTGGTGGTTGGGATTGCATATCTCAATGACTGAACAACCTACACTAGCTGAAACTACTGTTCCTGCAGGTCCTACCACACCAGGAAAAGTGTTAAGATAGCGATTTGACTAAAAGCAATTACCGGCATAGTGTAAGCATTTCTTTTTAAACTATGCAGGGAGGTGTGTGGGCGAACAGGGATGTAACAGCAAAAGGTTTTTCCCTCAGATGACCAGAATGCCAGCTATGCTGTCTTTCTACTCTGGAGAGAGGGGTTTAGAAAAGGTCGACTCCAACAATTGTACATCCCGAATTACCCTACGGTGGTCCTTAACTGGCGGTAAGTTTATTAATACGGAACCAAACCAAGAAACCAGTTCATACAGGCCGTGTGTGACCGGCCTCAAGCCGTTCTACCCTGGGCTCTGCGGTCACGCGTCACTCTGTTTCAGGTACCCGAAGAATCAATCAACTTCCACGGTGTGGGCAGACGGGAAGTAACAACCGCCCACACACTTCCAAAAGCATACGAAGCCTCCCCGGGAATCATTCCCCTTCAATCACATCACCTTCCTCATCTTGCTTCTCTACTACAGTTAGTGCTACTCTCCAGGCTAATGAGTCATCTTCACTTCACTGTGTGACCACGAACAAAGGCGAGAGCCATACAAACACCTCCGACAGCCTTTTAAGGCCACGTCACCAACTCCATATAGGAGCATTTAACGCCAGGACCCTCTGTCGAATCGCACAACAAGCATCACTAGCAAGAACTCTGGCAACTCGAGCCATGGATGTATGTTGTGTTTCGGAGACACTCATACAAGACCCGAGTGTGGTCATTCATTTAACCTTACCTGGACAACAAGGTGAATCTACAAAATTCCCTTTATAGGTGTCAGAAGATCCCCCAGCTAGCTCGCGAGGACTCGCAGGTGTAGGGATAGCGCTGAGTGTTAAGTCGGAAAAATCACTTCTTGACTGGATCCCAGTAGATACTCGTATGTGTGCGGTCCGTCTGAATGGGTTCGTTAAAAGAAGGAAAGGCGGCGCTACCCGTTGTTGCCTTTTCGTAGTCTCCGCTTACGCCCCAACAGACCGCAGTTCGAATGAACTAAAGGGTGATTTCTACCTGAAACTGTCTAATTTCCTGCAAAAAGCAAAACGTTCAGACATAGTTTTTTTAACAGGCGACTTCAATGCCCAAGTGGGGAAGTTGTGCCAGACTGAGAAGTATGTAGGCGGTACGTATGGAGTTCCCTGCCGACTAACCAACAACGGTGGTCGTCTTCTACCGTTTTGCTCATATAACCATCTGTTCCTAGTCAGTACTAACTTTAGGCACAAAGAGAGACATTGTGTAACCTGGCGACCTCCATCACCAAATCAACGTTGGACTCAGATAGACCACATAGCCATAGGGTATCGCTGGCGTAGGTCAGTGGAAGACTGCCGCTCCTTCTGGAACACGTGAGTAGACTCCCGTCACTCTCTAGTCCGCGAACGTTTATGCTTACGACTAAACGGGCATAGAAAATTGCTGGCAGCGAAGCAGTTACGTTTCCGACTAAACCGCGACACTGAGTCACTATTTAAGGAAGAAATAGCGAAACGAATGTCTGAGGTCGATAGCAGGACTTCCCTTGAGGTAGCCTGGCACAACATACAGTTAGATGTAGACACAGCTGTGAAAACTGTCAATGACCTAAAACCAAAAGTTAGTAAGAGCTATTGGATCTCTACCATCTCTTTCGAAACGACTGACGCAAGAAGTCTGATTCCGGCGAGCTCCGATTATGATGAGGAGCGAAAGCTACTCAAACGAAAACTAACAAGAAGTCTTCGTAACGACTGTGAACAGTGGTGGGTCAGTCTGTCTGTCTGTTTTCGACATAGAACTTTGCAGAAATGTGCGGAAGTTCAAGTCGCCACACTCCGTGTAGCACGCGAAGGAAGAGATGGAAGTACAAGAAAAGCATAAGATTTTATTTATTTTTATTTTTGATCACAGCTTGATTCCACACTGTATTTTGGATACAAGTATGGAATTTTCAGCGTAGATATCGGTAGCCCAAAATTCGCAGGCCGACCATAGATATCAGGTGTGCGTCGGGGAGGGCTCGAACCCCGGACCATGTGCATAGTCGGCGAGAGTCCTAACCACTGTGCCACCGACGCAGTGAGCAGAGGTGGTGGGCGACAAAAGCGAAAGAGATGGAAAAGGTATCGACGATTGGTAACACCAGACAACCATTTAGACTTATCAGGAAAACGGATGGTTAAAGTCAAACGATAAGTGAAACAATCTCTGAGAAAAATGGCACCATAATTAGCTCCCAGGATAGACGACTGGAACGCTGGAAAGAACACTTTGAGGAACAGTTCAATTGGCCTATAGCCACGCCCAACTTTCCGAACATCCAACACCTCCCTGAATGGGATATAGACACAGGTCCTCCTTCCTTAATTGAGGTTACTAAAGCTGTCACTAATCTGAAACAAGGCAGAGCAGCGGGACCTGATTGAATGACTCCAGAGGTATTTAAGTACGTTAGAGACAGTTTACTGTCTGCATTAACTGAGGTACTAGAAAGCGTCTGGGAATCAGAGGAAGTCCCATCGGGTTGGTGTAAGTCATTGATTATCCCCATATACCAGAAGGTAGACAAGTCTCCCTATGATAATCATGGGGATTAGCTTGACTAATATGGTATCTAAAGTTCTAGGCTCAATAATCATACGTAGACTAAGTGGTACTCGGGAGGAACAAACACGAGAGAACCAGACAGGTATTAGATCAGGAAGAGGGTGTATTGATCATATGTTCTAGAAAAATGGCATTCTTACCGGCGTCGAACAATCGTCATATAACTTGACCTAAGAGCGGCATTTCTGTTTAATTTCATCATTGTTACACCAATGGATTTACCCTAACTGACTCCAGTGACTCAGAGATTGACTTGTTACCAGGGAAAGATCTCGCTGACTTAGAATATGCAGATGATATAGTCCTCCCTCCGAAGTGAAGACGATGACAAAATGTAGAGTCTTCTGAACACCTTGGGCAGCACTCTGCGAATGTTTGGCATGTGATTTGCTTCTGTCAAATATAAGATGGTGTTACAGGACCGGAATACATCGACTCCTAGATTAGAAATAGGAAGTGAAGTGGGAGAGCACGTTGACCACTTCACTTATTTGGGAAGTTGCATCAACCAGTGCCAATGGGTTGATCTCTGACGAAATCTCAGCACGGATACAGAAGGCTCGTTGGGTATATGCTAGTTTACGCCATCTCTGAAATAAACGTGATATCCGGCTGTCGACGAAAGGGCAAGTGTACTGCTCAGCAGTCCACTCCGTCCTCCTTTACGGCTGTGAAACCTGGCCGTTGAGAGTGTAACACACTCCTTGTGACTAATAATTTCTAATAAAACTATATTGTTCTTAGATATTACTATTCCTTTTGTCTCATATCCCTGTTTACTGTCTGTATTTTGCATTTTTTCTTCTTCTTTTGCTTTGTGTGTTACATGGACTGTGGGGATTTGAAGTGCTGCGTGTCGGCGAAACGTTCTATGTTGAAAACATACATGCACTCTGGTACAGCTTCAATTCCCAACTAAGGCTCCATTAAACATTGTCGGAAAAGGAAGGAAAACTGGTCGTGAAACTAGCAACCCCCACCTCAACAACATAACAATACCACTGCTACTAAAACTACAGAGCTCGAAGTCCTATGTTCCACTTGGAACTCAGGATATAAAAACTATTTCTTTGCAGTCGTATCCAAACAGTTTAATAAAGTATTCAAAGTACTTGAATATTCGCCATGTAATCTACCCAATGAACGTCAGTTGGAACAGCGACAGTGAATTTTACCGCTTCCTTTACAAATAATTTGGATCTGCTAGTGGTTAAATGGTATGCATTTAACATCAAACACAATAATTACAGTCATAGGTCAAATACTGTTTTTGATAATCTCACTCCTAAAAGATTTACTAAAGGGATCGATGGATGGATGGATGGGGTAGTACGGGGAGGTTGATCAGTTATTACTTGAAACAATCTGAAAATGTACAAAGTATTTCACATCAAAAATTTTGAAATCTTCACTCAATCAAATCATTATTTATGTGTTATTCAGTGGTGAGCATTAGAACTGTGTGAAATAGTAATTAATGTTTTTGTAAAGTGGATGAAAGGAGGAGAGAAAAACATACCGCCAAATTGATAACACAATATTGACAGGGACGCGTGAAGTGACATACACGATTCAGTGTATTCCATCTGGATACCGGAAATTGACATTGGGTACCATTAGCTGATTTTGTGTATATCTCGATTAATTTCACTTCAATCTTAGGAAAAAACGAAAACAAAAATAAAGCATATAGGGTTAGTAATCGACGTATATTATTATCCTCTTTGTCATATAGTGATAATATATTTGTACATTGTTACGTCATCTGTTCACACACTTAGAATTATCGAACAACCAGTGAATTTCCACACTGACATACTACACTACAATATATCTAATAGAAATTAGCGCTTATGAAAAAACAGATGAGTATCATCGTCTATTATTATTCCCTCGGGTCTCCTAGTCGAACACATAGGGCTTCAATAGAACATCTCCATTTCACTGAGTTTTCTGTCGTCATTATTACCTAGCTTTTCGATCGCCCATCAGTTCTTATCTCCTCCTTCTCACATGATCGCCTCCATGTCAACTCGAACCACCTCCCAATTGGTCGTTTCTCGTTTAGCTCTCACTCCAGGACCTGGCACATAATGTTACTTAACGGTCTCCTCAGCAATGTGCAATCTATAGCCGGTCCTTCGACATATTTGTTGGGTAATAATAATGGTAACGCTTTATTTAAGACAGTATGCGAATATATGGTACAAAAATTTTGAGCGTATTCAATTCCAAAGTACCTTTTTCTTCACAAAGGATTCACGTGTTAAGTAATAATTTGAAGTATATCTTCATTTCGTTTCATTTACTTGGGAGCAAGTTAAGTCATCGCGCAAATTTATGTATAGGTAATTTGATATAACTGCATGATTAAAACAATGATAAATCCAGATGAAATTAAGCATTTTGGAGGAAAGTAATTTCGGTAGCCCAATGATTTAATAGATCCCATAACATCCTCATCCATGCCATCTGTAGTAGAAACCATTCTGCCCCACCGGATAAGTGAAAAAGGCGACTTCCTTTGAGTTTCTCCCGCTGGTAGCGATTCGTGCTTGTCACTGTTTTTAATTAAGTATCTTTAACACCTCTATCTACTCTATGTCTACATGAAATCAAGTCTTCTCTGCCTGCTTCTTCTGCCAACTTGATGGTTTCGCAAGTAGATTTTAGAGTTTATGTGAGATTAAACATAATAACCATTAAAACGAAATAGTTGTAATTTTTTCCTAAGTTCTTTCTGCTTGATATTTTAACAAGCCATGAAATTTTACGTATAAGTGTATATGAACAGCTAGATACATAACACAAAACAACTCATTAATTAATCAACAAAGTCATTTATTATGATGTCATTTAGCTTGTGGTGGCTAACAGTGAAATGAACTGTGAGAAGACACGTGATGATAATGACGAACATTGCACATGTAAGAAATATGCTAAATTCACTATGCGTTTTTTATACCTAAAACCACATATGAGGAAAAATGGATGCATACATATAAATTTATAATTCACTTCATGGTGTAGAAACAGAAATACTAGACTTAGAAAGAGTATACGTGAACGTTATTGACTGTTTCATTAAAATTCCAGGAATGAGATTATACAGACATATGGTTTCGAAGTTACAATGGCAGTGATGTTGTTTTAACGGTGTGGAGTTGCCAGTCTCACGCCCAACCATCCATTACCTATCACACGGGACCCAAAGCTCTCACAAAGAGACACCGAAGCAACTGACCTGCCGACTGGATACTAATCAATTTTACTACAATCATTAAAGATAACCCATGAGCTTTTCTTCTGAAATCTAATTTTCCTTTCGTGTGTTTAAATTTCGGTCTATAATTGATCGTATCAACATCTATTTGATACAATAGGCCTCGCAAACAAAAACTGGCTGCATACTTCGCCTTTTTCTGCTATTTCACAATAAGAAAACCTAGTTGGGCTAATAGTATTCCAAAACCACTGGTCTACATGGGATCCAGAATGCGAAAGGATCCAATCGCGTGTCAACATGTTTGGTTCACTGGAAACCATGAGAACATAGCTACTAACACTTCTCCACTGCCTTGTGGATCAGACTTAAAGTCAAAGTCTCGAGGAGTGAGTGGTCCCTTAATACAACCATCTGCTCCGGTGTGGGCGTTCGGGCAGTATCCTAACCCTCGGACAAACTATGAGATTTTGCTTGGTGCATCTCTTGGTGTCCATAATGTACTACGTTTGTGTTCTAATATAATAATAATGATAACAAGACGTGACAAACAAATGAATCCCCTGGCTTATGCAGTAAACTACCCACGCAACGGTTTGAAAGTTAGTCAAAATTGTTGTTTCACTTTACACAAACAACTTATTCATTAAAAGCATGGTGACAACAGAGAAACAAAACAAGTGATAGTGGTGACAGAAAGGCTTATCAATATAGGTCGACAATAACTTACGGGAATAGGATTTTTATTATATATTACGATGTAATGACTACTTGTTTCACCCAACAGTATTGTACCCAGTATGAAAGTTTTATTAATTAGTCGTGCACCCTGTATACCCACCTGTTATAAAAAAGATACAGACAAGAGGAAGAGAATATTTTATCTAAATCAAATGAATGATAACACATGTAATGTGAAGTAATTTCATATATTACAATGTATTATTAAACCATAAATCAAATTAGAAATTTGCGATTCACACAGTTTCAAGAAGTGAAATTTCATCACAGTATCCTTTGGAGACCAAAATTATTCAGACCCGAATTGGGTGGTTTGAACTGACTTGGCTCTCTGAGCTTAGTCAAACCAGGCACATCGTTGATAAGCTCGGGCGAAAACCAGCGAAACTGCCGTTCAGTGTCTGGATCACTTTGATCTGGCTAGAAACTACTACTAGCCTATTGTGAGTGATTAAACAACTCATCTGGTTCAATCAGTCGTACATAGCTTTACGCTATTATTAAATCAGTTTTACTTATGAACGGAACCCACGAGCATTTCGCTACACACTCACTCAATGTTATTTATGTAGCTCTTTGATCAACTGATTTACACATTTAACTTTCAATTACTGGGTTACAAGTTTAAACCAGGTTCTAACATCTTTCGAGAATTAGTCATCCAGATGGTATCAGTAGCTCCCGAATATATATATATATATATGAAAAAGAACATTGTTCACTGGAAGAAACGATTCAGGATTGGCATGTGCAACACACATTTCGTAGCCATCTTCACAACCTCATCGATTGACTTCCCTTCCACACTCAACACACTACGCTTTATCTTACTCATTGATACGGGAGATAGAAGGCAAATATCTGTGGTCATAGATAGGCAACCTTTACATGTCTTCTGCTTTCAATGGTCATATTTCACAGCTATAAATGAGGACAGGGCGAAACTCCTGCACAGTACACACGTCTCTTGATCGATAGGCAGATATCGTCACTATGCGAGAGATGACGGAATTTAGCACATGCAATACAGTCGTCTGAATATAACAATGAAAAGTAAAATGTGTATGAAACTTTATCCAATAAATAATGCTGTTTCTTTGTCTGGTCTACAACCAAACTGAAACAGGATTACAACGACGCAAAGTCCTTTTGTATGCCACCAACGCAATTATTATTTGATGGTAGCACAGAACTGAGTATTTTCCCTTCGAAATAATAGAAGTGCGGCTGAGAAATGACTAGAAAATACTTTATTGTAAGGAAAGAAATTTATTTTATTTTTAAACAATAAACTTAAGAAGCTACCAGGAAAGATATTATGAAAGTCTAGTACATCACTTAAATTGTCCAGTATATCATATTAACCATGTGGATGGAAGATATTACTAGTTTTATGGATTGGGGTTGCAAGAGGTGGAAGATGATTTTACCAAAGTAGAAACAAACTCATAGTCAGGCGTTTTGAGTATTCCCTTATCAAATAGTTCTTAATTAGTTCCCAAGTGCTGACTTGTAGGGATTTGATTCGCTTCACGTCGGATCACGAAGTGATTTCATTTAGAAAGCTAGTGAAAATCAGAAAGTATTGGATAGTTCTCCCAACTTTTCAGTAGTACGCACCTACAACTTCCACTCAGGACCCTCATGTTACGAGGTCAACCCGCTGACCATCTAGCCGATGGAATGGAATCCAACAATCCATGAATTTTAAATTCTGCCAATTTTAGTTCATGAAAAATCCCCATTCGAATATTAATAGAGAGAAGACCAGTAGTTTAGCGAAGAGTCTATTTTTGGCAAATTCATTATCTTAGCTGTACAGTCGCAAATATATATGGGTTATTTTGTGTGCATGTGTACATTAAGTTTGTCAGTCAAAAATAAAATACACTTCTATGTGTATATATCAGTTCACATGTTACTGTGGAGCCAGGGACATCGGTCGTTCGATGCGCATCCTGTCAAAAAGGGTCAAAAAACACTATCCAGCGTGGCTGCATAAAGGAAGTAGTGGCCATATAAGGAGGGCAATAATCGAACATCTCCTCACCACTGGTTATTAATTATCAACAAACTCCTCATTCAAAGTAATCTACAAAGTGAAGAACCATCTTCCAGAGACAATACGTTTTCGTCTTCTTTGAATCGCAGAAGCCCTACCCATTCAGTTAGAAGAAGCAAAACTATGCATGCAAAAAAAATTATTCAGACACTTCTGCTATCATGGTAACAGCTCCGTTGATCTGACTTAACTTTTGTTTTTTTTACAAGTTTTACTAACTACTTAAAACTCTTACGTAATTCCGTATATTTTGTTTCCATGTACACCCTGAGCACAACTCTTTCATCAAACTATTCATATTCCTACGTAACTGTCCTCTAAAAATCGTTTGTGACAACTCACCACCTTTGTTGCTACCCTCTTATATCAACATCCAATTCCTCTGAATACTTTTCGTATTAATTAACTCCACCCAAAACTTACTAATTCTCACCTATTTAGTTAAAATAACCATAGCCAATTGTATTTTTGTTTGACAAACATACAAAATATCCCATATATATATTTGCGACTGTACAGCTAAGAAAATGAATTCGCGAACAGAGACTTTTCGCTGAACCACTGGTCTTCTCTCTGCCAATATTTGCAGTTTATAGCACTACTGCCAGCCAGTGTTATCAGCGATTACTTTATCCCACACCCGACCAATTGTACATCATGGGTCAGTTTGTCTTTAAAAATACATGTAATCCGAAGTGATTATGTAAACTACTAGTTAAAAAAATCTGCACTCATAAATCAATGAAGTAGCAACACTTTATAATGCATCTACCTCAATATCCCGTTGCTATCCTTGCTCTCCCCTTTTTTTGTCTTATTCGAGAGACTTTGGTCGAATTACTCAAACCCGTACAGCAATATTTCATGTTTTATTAATTTAACATTCGATTCATCTATATACCATGATCAGTCTTAATTATTGCTCTACACCTTATCTCAGGCGGACTAAATTAAGTTAAAATTGTATAATAGAGCTATTAAATTTTCATTATTTAGGCTGTATTCAGCTGATAAGATACCAGCTAAATGGACCAGTTTTATTCTACACCTTGTGCTGTTACTGCTTTGTTAAAAAATTAGATTATTGCATCATATGATAATCCTGTCATCCAATTTCTGATGTTTTCTTGGATCAAAGTACAATCTGGATAATGCTGAAAATGCAGTAATCTAATCCACGACATGTAGAATCTGTTTAAAAAAAACTTAAATTATTATTATTGTTATTCATAAGAGGAATGACCTATATCATAATGGTGTTGCTTAATAAGGTCAGTAGTTTTAACTGTTCTCTTTTGAATTACCAAATGATATGACCAACATGGGACTAGAATAACTGCGTAACAGCTTGCATTGATACACAACCAGAAATTCCAACGTCTCACGTGACTGACACTAAGCAATCTAGAAAAACAAAATTTCTGAACAAATTCTATGCGGAATGCAATTTTAGTTAGTGAAGACAAAACATAAATTAAGTAAGGCTGAACAAAACAAAACAAACAAGATAAACTGAAAGAAATCAGCAAGCAAATCACTGGACAATACCAAAATTTACAATTTCAATGCAAGACAGAGAACTTCAAGGGCATTTACAACGAATAGATAATTCATTTTAATATCCAGACAAAGATATCCATGATTTCTTTTATTTGATGTTAAACGGTTGAATACAACCGGGGAGAAGCTGCTGAGACCTGGATTTCGTGCTTGTTGGCACTCGTCAGTAAGGCGTATCCGCAAACCTAAAGGAATTCATTTCCTTCATTACCAGATTATCAGCAGTAAAAAGAGTGCAAAACTTGAATATATACATACAGAAACGACAATTTCGTAGTTTTAAAAAAATAATAAAAATTTCCCATGTTCAATGGGTGGTAGACACCTTACCATTTTTCAGATTCCGAATGACTTCATTTGAGATAATAGGGAAACATTTTCTGACAACTACCACTAACTAATAACGCTGGAAAAAATTATTTTCTTGCCTGAAAATATGATTTGTTCTGGAGGAGAACACAACTATCCACTGACTTAACTTGCTTCTCAACTTCATCACTGATCGACTACTTAATTCTACTGGAGAAGAGAAAAGACCACTGTATAACTGGCGTTTTTTTACCTGCTATCATTTGAAGAATACATATTGAAGCAGAATTCCATGTTTGAGTCAAATTGTTCTGATGGAAGAAGACATAATTAAGCAAAACAAAATACTCAAGTAATCAGTTAAAAATATTTTCGTCACATATCTTAAATGAACGGGCGTCGGTGGTACGGCGGTAGAATGCTCGCCAGCCTCGCAGTTGGTTAGGGGTTCATCCCCTCACTAAGCCATTAACAAGACTAGTAAAGAGGAAAGGTTGGGCATGAGGCTAGCAACCCCATCTCGTAGAAACAAACACTACTGCTCTAGCTTGAGGCTGTATATTCCACTGGGAACGTAAACGAATAACAAATTTTAAAAAATAGACCTTAAATGAACAATCTGTAGGATAATAGTCAGGAAAGGCAATATTTTTGGTGTTGGATACTTATTATAAACTGAATATTGATTAATTAAAGGACTCTGTTTAGCCATATATAATACATGAAAAAAGTAAATTGTCTAAGGGGCTAAATAGTATCAATTGTGTAGGCATTTGAAAACTCGACTGAAATTTAAATGATCGATACAGTTATGTTGTATTCAAAATGTAGTCAAAGAATAATAGAGAAGTTAAAGTATGATGTACAACCAGAGAAATTTGGAGTGTCAGTAGGCATTCGGACACTGTAGTAGATGGTGATTCCACATTAAATAAGTTTATTTGATATAACTCATTCACTTTATTGAAATCTGAACGGATCCCTAAGTTCTTCACAAATTTAAGCTCAGTAATGGATGGATTCCAATTTACTTTTGATGAGTTAGAAAATGAACAACGTGAGTTAGTTAAGCTATACTCTAAAATAAAATGAAAACAAACTGGTACTTAAAGGGGAAACTGACTCATTCTAATAAATACTTAAATTAATACTGATATAGAAAACTGTAA